AATCAAACAAAAAATATAAAATGATGCAAAACAACTAATAATTTCAAGGGATTTTATTTTTTATTTTTTATTAAAAGAAATAAGAAAATCACTCTCACACAGTTCATCGTTATTAAATTACAATCCCAAAACCACTAATATTTGCATTGATTCATTTTTGAGGTTCAATCTAAAAATAATACATAAGATTTCATGAGGACTTGAAAAGGTTAACAATAATAGAGTCTACAAAAGAAACATCAAAAATCATATTCCAAAAGCTACTTCTTACACTGCTACCTGGAATCCCAAATAAAGTTTCCACCTCTAAACTCATGCGAAGCCTTCACATTTTTTTTGCCAAGTCCATGATTGACTCACACAACTCACAATACCTTTCAGAATCAAAAGCTACACTCTTAACAAACTTGCAAATCAGTATTACTGTTTCATTTTAAGACCTAAACAAGGTGCTCCAAGAAAACTGGGTTTCTTTACATACATACTTGCCATAAATTGCACACAAGTTAAATCACAAAACAAACCACACACTTACACACACAAAATGCGTCTGTAAGTGTGATTTATGTCGAGCTAGTGCAAGGATCGGTCCAGACCTAATGAAAGTTCTGATCCATGATCTGGGTTCCAACGTTTTGCGTTCAGTTTTTGCTACGAAACCACCCACAAAGATGAGTTTATCGTTGGCTGTTACTAGACTCTTTCTCACACTCGTTCCCGTTTTTCATCGTGATGCCTTCCACCTAGATTACCTGAGCGAGATCGTGCAGTTGCTCGAAGTGTTGGAGAATCGCAGCGTAAGTGACAGTCTATTTGCAATGCCGAATGTGGATCAGGAGTAAGAGTTTTCAGTGAGGTCGTCACACGTGCTCATGGAATGGTGAACAATGGCGACTAGATCGATAGCAGAGGTTGCGCTAGGAGGTTGTTGAACTTGAGTTGCATCATCTCCGACTGAGCCCGGGTTTATTGATGCATTGAACTCCCCTAGAACCTCCTCAATCTGAGTGTATAATCTAGTGCATGTGCTGCTTGGAGAAATCCAAGGCACTGAGTCTGATGAGTACACGGAGACGGTACTCACCTTGCAGTGCCGTTAAGGTGGCTTCAAGTGGACTTGCGATGTCAGACGGTCGCCGCATGAGGTATGGTGAGAACTTTGTCCTCTCGATCAGAAGTGTTGTTGATTTCTGCGTCGCCATCCAAGCGTTGATTTTAGATTCATTTCGTGCACCATTGTGCATGCTGAAGGGCCAGGTGCGTGGAGGTATTGCAATGAAATTTTGCGTGCATGCTATTTCAAGCATGGGATAGTGTGGTTGTGTTTTAGTTGTTGCCAGTAGCTGAGCATTCTGCATTGTACTTTCCATCTCTAAAGCCTACTTTGTATAGATTAATTGCTGTGTCCCGTATACAAACACTCAGAAATTGTTCTTCATGCAGTTCCATTGTTATCAGTCTGGTTTATTTGTCAAGAACATAGAATCTACGCAGTACATCTTGAGATACAGTTGGTGAAGGGATACCCAGCTTTCACAACTACATTAAGATGCAAAGGTCCTAGTCTGAATGTTAATTAGGGTTCGTGATCACCGTGATAGAATATGAAAACTCCTCAAAAGGGCTTCGAAAAACTGAGGATGACCTGAAAGCTCTCCAGAGCGTCGGCCGAATCATTGATGAAGTTCTTCAAGAACTGGATAGTGAAAGATGTACGTGCTAACAATAAACTACAAAATTTACCCTCGACAGGGATGTGTACTTTTAGTGCTTGTTACAATAGGTTTTCTTCTGTTTTCCTATACAGCTACTAGAAACGTCAGCTTGGGAGTAAATCGAGCTGTCTATCATGCAAAATCTTGGTTCTTTAAACTTATATGTATATATATAGAACGAAGTATGCAAGTACTTGTCCTTCCTTGAACAGATAAAGATTTTACTAAAATTTCCTTTCCCTCAAGGGTGCCATCATCACAATACCTTGTGGCAGTCTTTATGTTTAGGCATGCATAATCGACATTCTGTTTTTAAAGGTATGAATAGGTGTATCTAGGCTTGTAAATGCAAGGAAATTAATTTGTATTATGAGACCATGTTTGGAATCACGAATGTGAAGAGATATGAATATTAGGGAGCTTAAACTACTTAAAGCTATGTATTGCAAACGTAATCTTTTCAATATAAATATTTTTAGTAAGAAGTAAAGAATAAATTTAAGCAAAAAAAATCATCTCAAAATATGAAGAATTCATATCTAAAGAGGATTGGTTGTACACCAAGGTTGAAATCACATCCCAAAGCACAAAACCATGCAATAGGACTCTAGGATGCTTTGGTTGATCAAAAAGCAAGATTTGAGAGCAAACTTAGGAGAAGATTTTTTGATAGTTGATTTTATGTGATTTGAAGGTATATTGAGGTTTTAAAGGCTTTTTAAAGTAAGAAATGTATTCAATGGATTTGGATTTTGAAAAATAAAAAGAAGTTTATAAACTTGAAGATTATAAATGTGTCATAGCATATTTACAAGTAAAATTTGTTGGTTTGTCATGTGCTTGTTTTAAATGTATGTAAAAAATTTGATGTCAATCAAGTTGTTAGATTGAAGATTGAGAGAATTTTTGTAGGTTATAATCTTAGATAATTAAAATTTAGGGTCCACGAGGGTTTTTGTAATCATGCAATATCTGCCAATTTGATTAAAGCAAAAATTAGTGAGATCTATTTAGAATTAAAAATCTACAAATTAATCAAATTTTGAAGCAATTGAACATTTCAACAAAAAGAAATTGTCATTCAAAAATCAACATTCAAGTTGGAAAAGGATGGCAGCCAACATGTGAGAGGTTTTGAGAGCTTTGCTTTCAATCAATGAATTCAATTCTTCTCAAATTTTTTATGTTTGTTAATTATATATAAAATAAAATTTGAATAAAATTTTAGTTAAGATTAATAGTTTAATCAATATTTATTGAAGTTTAAAATAGCTATAGTAATTGATTAATATTTATTTAATATTTTTTTAGAATTATTTAGGATTTCATTAGAATTTGATTGAGATTTGGTTAGGTTTTTATTAATATTTGGTTAAGATTTGATTAGGATTTCATTAAGATTTTATTAAGGTTTGATCTAAGATTTAATTAGAATTTAATTAAGATTTTGTTAAGATTTATTTATGATTGTTAGAGTTTTATTATAATTTGATTAGGACTACATTAAGATTTGATTAGGCTTTACTTAGGATTTACTTAGGATTTACTTAGGATTTATTTAAGATTTTTATTTTTAATATTTATTTAAGATTCTTTATTACTTTTATTAAAAAATCTATTTTAGTATTTTTTTTAAGATTATTTTTATTTCTTTAAGGATTTTATTTTTTATTTTTTTTAGGATTTCTTTATTATTTTTCTTTGAAATTAATTTATGACCTTTATATGTTTCTTTTGTAATTTTTTAAAAAATTCTTTTGGATTGGTTAAAATTTGATTAAAAATGTTAAGGATTACTTAGAATTTATTTAAGATTCTAATAGACTTGGTAGGATCTTGTTGTTTCATTTTTTATTTATCTTTGACAACTATGTGCCTAATACATTCTCAAGCAAGAATTTATATTATATGACAATATCATCAAATATACTCTTCGTTTGATAGATGAATAGATTGCAATTGTTAGAAATCACAACCAGTGACTTTTAACTCTTTGAGCTAATTTAAAAGTAGTTTTCTTGTATATTAAAGGCTATCAGTATAACTCAATAAAGTAGACAATAGATTTATTTAATATTAGAGCTCAAAGAGTTGCTAGTAAGCTTTACTCCTAGATTAGCATTGCTATACTCATTAGTATAATATTACAATGAGTAGAAGATAGCACTAGAGAAGCCCTTCAGTTGAAGTTCATAGTTGCATGTTTACTTCTTCTATTGTGTTAGTTGTATGACCAATCTTCTACGATCATGATTAGTCAAAGCAATAAGTTAGAAGGAAGGGCAAACTACAACATAGAAGTTAAAAATAAGAACTATATTAACAAGGGAGAATTTATGGAATTTATGGGAGAATTTATAGAAATTGGTAGAAAATAAAATGATACCAACTTACTTTTCTACCTTCACCTTCACAGCAGAGCAATTCAAATATACAAACTCAAGGCACAAACGTTGATAGTGATGGTAGTGAAGGATGAGTTTATAGAGACAGATAATCCAGCTGACACATGGCAAGCATTGAAAAGTATTTTTGAAGCAGGCGACTCATCTTAGATACTCCTTCTATCAGAATTGATAATCTGACAGAATTCTACCAGATTACATAATATGCAAATGAGCGAAGGGAGCTCAATTGAGGAATATTTACAAATAGCTCGAGAGTTGAAGAGTAATTTGTCCTCTCTAGGATATAAATGCCAACAAAATGCTAGTTCAACTTACTCTTGACGAACTTCCTCCAAGCAACAAAGGGATAATCCAAAGCTTTAGTACTCTGGACAAACTACCAAATTTTGCGTCAATAAGCTCTAAATTACTAAACGAATCTCATGGACTTGAACTACGCAGGAACAGGCTAGGAGAAGAAGGAACTCTTGCCCCACAACTCACACGCAATCAAACAGCAGTTCGCACTCAGAATTGCGGCAATCCACACAATTGGCGCAAAACTAACAACATACATCAATCGAACCAGTATCACAACACAAGACAAGCAATAAACCAGAAGACATTTCGAACCTCTCCACGCACAGGCTTCAGATGCTACAACTACGGATCACCAGAGCACCCAGCACGACTCTGCCGAAATAAGTTTTTCAACACAAAAAGAAGATACCAACGCAAATATTGTCACAAATAAACGACATGGCATAGCAAGCACAGTTGAAGACATTAACGTAGCTCTCACAAAGTTTACAAGAGAATCGGACAAAATTCAACCTTGGTATTTAGACTCAGGGGCAACGCGTCATGTCACAGGGAATAGAAGATTTCTAGATACATACACATTAGAAAATCATGGAACTGTTATTAAAGCAAGTGGCGAGAAACACATAATAGAAGGCACTGGCAGTGTCACTCTATGTACTACAGAAGGAGAAATAAAGCTCAATGAGGTTCTTTACGTGCTCAACCTCAAAAAGAATCTGATTTCTATAGGATGTCTAACAAAAAATGAAAAAGTAGTAGCTTTCTCTAACAAGCAATGTTGGATTGTGAATCAAAGGAACAAACTCACCTTGGCTGGACATAGTGATAAAAAAAAAAAAAAATGGATTATACAAGATCTACATTCTCCTTACACAATCAAACAAGCAACTGAATTTGTATCAAGTAACACAACACCAAGTAGCGACTCAAAATTAATCAAACTATGGCATCAAAGATTCGGGCATCTAAACTATAACAGCCTCAACTATTTATCACGTCACAACAAAGTAACAAGTATGATAATACTCAACCAGATCAAAACCGTATGTGCACAGTGTTTGGCTGGAAGATAAACACCGTGAAAGGTTCCCAAAGAAATCCCTCACTCCAACCTCGAGAATTCTACAACTCCTACAAGCAGACTCTGTAGGTCCAATGCCGACTCCTTTGTGGCTTGGATCTAGAAACAACCTGCTGGTTTCAAACGATTACTCAAGAAGATCCTAGGTCTTGTTCATGCAAGCAAAATCCGAGACACTATCCACATTCAAAACTTTAAAGCACTAGTAGAAACAGAAATGGGACTAAGTGGGGGGGGAATTCATGTCTCGTGAATTCCAAGAATTCTGTAATCTGAATCGGGAGGCAATTATCTCAACCACATACTCCTAAACAGAACGGGATCGCGGAACGGCAAAACAGGACAATATTTGAAAGAGCCAGATGGCTCATTGTAACTCAATCCGCACACCTAAAAGCTCCAGCATCCGTCTTCAAGCAGACATGAATCAATACCCAGTTGATAAGCACACTTATCAGTCGCTCATAGGAGGATTATTGTACGTGGCTGTAATATCAAGGCTTGATAACTTCGCAGTAAACACTCTAAGTAGATACTGTCAACAACCACAGGAAGAGCACCTAATAGCTGCCAAAAGAGTTTTGAGGTACCTTCGAGGGATAGACAACGTTGGAATATTGTTTCCACACAGAAATAAACTCACATTAGTGAGTTATGTTGATGCCGACTACGGTAGGGACTTAGACACTAGACGTCCTGTTTCTGGACTCATTCAAAAACTAGATGATGCACCAATAGATTGGTCCATCAATAAACTAGGTGACAATCCATAATCATAGAAAATGCGTTTGAGACAAATCGGTGGATAGCCAATACAATCAACCATAGCCCTAGCAAACACATCTCCCATTGAAGAATAATTAGCGCAAGATCCACCAACGATATCAGCAAAAACTGAATAAAGCAATCAAGTAAGATTCTTAAAATGGACATCTCGTCAATTTCCTGCTGAAGACGATCCATCGCAAGTAAATTTCCAAAGATAAAGAAAAGAAATTGTGGAGCGAGGAGTGTTGGAATATACACTCCACGTCTCTTCAGCACTTCAATGACATCATACTAATAGACGTCATCAAGTACACTCCTCGTTTGATAGATGGACAGATCGCAATTGTCGGGGGTCACAGCCAGTGACTCTTGGCTCTTCGAGGTAATGTAAAAGTAGTTTACTTGTGTACTTAAGGCTATTAGCATTACTCAATAAAGTGGACAAAAGATTTATTTAACACATTGTCATCTGCCTGCCCCTGCCATCAAGCTGATCTAGCAGACGCTTGATGATGTGATGGAGCAGCAACAGTGAAGACAAGCAGCAGTCCTCGTTACGAAGTAGGCAACCGCAACAATGTAGACAAGGAGAAACTGGTCGCTGGTACCAGAGTGGCTCTGAACATGGCAACGCTTACTATCATCCGAGCTCTTCCAATAGAGGTTAACTTCCCTCCTGTTAATGTCCCCACTTAACCTGGATGTCCTGGATATAAAACATTCCCTGAACCCAATAGGCAGGCCATCTATGCAACCTGAACCTCCGATCAAATTTGCGTAGGACCAGTTGAGGCATGAACATGTTCATTTGTGGCGGCATCTGAGTTTAATGTCCCGTTTTTCACACTTGTGATCGGAGTGATGGTTTTGAAGAGATGGGTTCTTCAATCAGGTGAATCCACTAGTCTACAACATTTTCCACGAAGTCCCTGGGAACGTGTGTTTGAAGGTCAACTAGATCTAGCTAGGCAGTTAGAATATATACATTATCAATATGTACAGGTGGTCTAAAGTGCAATTATGGACAAGTACATTGGAGAAAGGGCAAGGTTGACTCGGAAGATGTGTGGGTATGCCCGTGATCTTCAAGTACGGTTCTCCCTCTCAAAATTCACATTCCAATTCTCCACGTCACATTCGGTGCTTCGCAAACTTTTTCTCAAATAGCGGAGTGAAAATGGCTAAATTAGAAACTGTGCCTCTCTCCATGATGAGCACGCACAGTTCGTACTTTACCAGCATATATCTTATTAGCTATCAAAGTGTTTGGGAAACAATTTTTTATGGTTGATCGGAACATGTTCATTGTGTGCTCTGAGAAAATCTTGAAATATCTCACAACTGCCTAAATCCATCTGTTGCCTTGGAGCAGCCTTGCATTGTCTTCATGGACGAGAAAGATGTTATCGGTCGACGATTTAGCGATGGTACAAGCGCAGACTGGGAAATCCAGCGTATGTCGATGGAGCTCTCAAATCAACCCAATGGCTTCGATCAACTTGGCAAGGGACCTCTAGTCATTGTGAGATTTGACATTACCCTTATATTTTCTATATCAATAAAGGGTATTGTGTAGAAGGTGAATCAGTCCAGCAGATTTACTACTTTAGATTGGGTTTTACTGCGAAATACTTTTGCCAAATGAGCAGTCACGGGCTGAAGTTCTCAGAATTTATGCAGAAGCTTCACAAAGCATGGTGAAATTGATCAAGTGGCAATTGTGAAGCGCGTTGAGATGTTTTTCTAAAAACATTTACTTCCTTTCACACAAACTTCTACAAGGATTGACCATCAAATCTGCTTAATTCGTAATCGAGGTTTTGACCCCAGAAAAGACTTGTAGATTTCTGGTGGGCGTTGCCGCATGAAGCGCTGGAAGTTCGCTTCTGCAATGGATCTGTGACGTTTTGTCGATTTCTCCCCGCAAGTACACAGGCGCGTGGCAATCAATCGCAGACGAATGATACCCTGGTTCGACGTAAAGCTCGTTAAGGAAAGTTGCAGCTCAGCAAGATCGGGGACTCGCTGGACATCTCGCGCTTGATGTGCAAGCATCTGGTTTTGCGATTGGGAATCTCAAACACTTTCTGGATCACTATTGTCTCCGGCAACGCTATTCATCTTGTCTCATACTGTGGATATCGAAGCTCACTCATGCCTGGCAAGTGTAACACAAAAATTGTTGCAGGGGCCACAATCGAAATTGCATTGGGTTAAACAGCCGTTACTCGTCAACAAATGACGCCAGCCCTGCAACACGATCACTGATGCACTTGTGGTGTGGGCTCACAATTCATCATAGTGGTCAATGCCTCGTAGACTAGGACAGCAGTGTTACTAATCCACCTTCAGATTCAAAACCCATCTAAATTCCGCTTCAAAAAACTTACAATGACCCTTGCAAAGCGGCCCTTCCAAGCTACCAGCTGGGCCACAGGGAATCAACCACGAGAGTAGACAGTAGGGAAGATGAATATTTGAAATGAAGAGTTCAGGTAAATGCTAAAATATTCAAGGTATTTTTTTTTTTTTGATTAGTAGATCAAGGGTGACAAGAATTGCATAAGTGAAGGCATGTGGTTTAAGGGTGGGAATAGTTTAAGGGAAGATGCGATGTTTCAAAACAATGAATGCTGATTCAATTACAATTACAATTACTAGCACACATCAATGGAGCAACAACTTAGTGTAGACCAAGGGTATTATCATGTGTACGGAGAATAAAGATCATCACCTCAATGGCATAAATTTGCAGAACAATGTTCTCCATGAGATATTTCTTAGATTAATTGTGCAATGTGTGCTTTTCTACAAGTTAAACTATTTTGTTGAAATGGATGTTGACATTATTAAAGAAGAAATAGAATAATTATGCAATACTTGAGGTGATAACATGATTTTTTTAGAAGAAACAAGGCCTTGAGGTGTATTTTTATAAATTGATTTGCAAAATTACAGCAACAAATTACTTTTTTTTCACCTTTGGTATATTTTTAGCTTACAACTATTATCTTATCGAATTAAATGTGGCTGATATTGTCAAGAAACTAAAATTATTTAACCTGTTTAAACTTCCTATAGCATGTACATTTTTTAAGAATAGAATCTAGATTTTTACTTATTTATTACTTTAAGGAAACAAATTGATACAAGAATTTCTATATAGGTTATATTAAAGAATTCATAAATCAAATTTAGAGTAGTAAAATAAATAAATAGCCAATGGTTTAGAAGTCCTATTTAAAAAACATAATTAAAATTTTATTACATTATATCAAGGTTTTTGTATAGCTATTAATTTAAAAAGAGATTAGAAATATTTTATTAATATAATAAATCTAATTAAATGTATTATATAGATGTATATAAATTCATATAGATAATTATAGATATTTTAATTGACTAAAATTTTATACTTGTAAAATATAAATACATCTTGAAAACCATTTATAGTATCAAAGAATGTCTTGTCTTATCTACAATAAAAAAATTATAGTATTAATAAGTCTTTTTTAAAGTAGATCTTATTTATAGTAAATATACTAAGTACAAATACTTGTTTAATGAATATAGAATGATTAATAATAACAACTACCAAATCTCTACTTCAAAGTAGAGGCTAATTAAAGAAATCAAACATATCCAATTTGGTCTTATTAAGACCACATTGATTATTTACAAGTATCAATAATTCTATCATTTTTATCAATATAAAAATAACTTATTTATACTACTATATAATTATTTAATTAAAATTTTATTAAGTAATATATATATATATATATATATATATAGATAAGAAATAAAACCAACTCCTACTTTTAGTCTAAATTAGATAAAAAAAAAAACAAAACAAAACAAAACAAAATACCACTATCTCTTTATTATTAAAAGATTAAGAAGAATTTCTCAAAGAAATCCAATTTATTATGCAAAGATAGACCAAAAATACATTATTACTATAGACTTAGATGCATACTAGTAGAAAATGAGAAATTTATAAATTTTAACATAGACTTTTTATTATGCCTTTAACAAATAAAAATGGGATGGTTTTTACTTAAACCATGACATATATCTCCAAAAAGATGGATTCATAATTGATAATGATTTCAATAAGATTTCTAAATTATCTATCTAATTATTCTTTATAAGTATTTGAAATAATTCTATCAAAAAAATCTTAATCATAATTAGAATTATAATCTTAAAGTAGTAACAATTATAGTATCATTACATGAAACTATATTCTTATGATCAAAATATCTATATAATATTATTAAAAGATGTTTTTGTATTACAAGTTGTCTTGTTGAGAATATACATGGCACTTGGTTGTGGAAGATAAACTTGTATTTTGCAACTAACAAAAAACCTACCAATCCTAATAAAAACCAAAATAAATCCTATTTGAACCTTAATAATTCTAATTAAATCTTAATCAAATTTTGAAGAAATCTTAAAGATGTTTTTAAAAAATCATTAGAAACATTCTAAAAAAAACCTTTAAAAATCATAAAAAAATATCAAAAAAATCATAAAGAAATTTATAGAAATTCTACATAAATCCTAAAGAAATTAATTCAAAATTTTAAAAATCATAAAAAACTTAAAGAAATATTTTTTAAAAAATCTTTAAAAAATCCTAAGTAAACTCTAAAAAATCTTAATGAAATTCTAAAGATATCTTAATCAAATCCTAAGTGGATCTTAATCAATCTTAATTAAATTCTATTATAATTTTAAAACCTCAATAATTATTAATTAAACTATTAATATTATTTCAAAAAAAATTACATATTTTAATCTACTAATTAAAAACAAGCACACAAATTTTAAAGAGAATTAAACTTAAATTTTGGAATGACAAGCTTCTAATTTTCTTGGATTTTGGCCATTTTTGTTTTTTTCTAATCTTGATATCAAGCTACCAACAATAATAGCTCTCTATTGTACTATTTACTTGCCTTCAAAAGTTTTTAAAATTTTTCAAACTAAATCCACTATCAGATCACAAAACATTATTTCAATCCAACACACAAATATCTCAAGATCATAGAATTTTCACTAAGCCTTAAAATCCAACTTCCAAGATCCTAATCCATTTAAATTTTAATAATCTTTAATTTAGTCATTTAATAAATTTTAAATTCACAAGATAAATTTAAAACAAATAAATTCACTACTATATAAATTTTCACCTATTCATTTGCTACAATGTTCATAAAATTTTGCAAAATGCAAACTCTTTTATATTTTAT